AAAAGTCTCTATTTTAAATGTTTGTAGTTTATCATAAATTATCTGCAAATTTGAATCCTACACAGAATAAGACAGTTTTGGGGATTCAGATGACCTTAATTTATTCAGTTTGGAAACAGGTTGTGGCAAACATAAAATCTAAATGACAAGTTTAATGTTGATTCTGTTGATTTTGTTTGCCTTGTTTACTTGTATTATTACCAGTCATGTAGTTTTAATGTCCAAGTAGTGAAAATAAAAATCACAAGTTATTTTAGAATATGTCATCACAGTGTGATTATACACTGGTCAAACATTAAAAGTGATAAAACATCTAAAGTCTGACACTGAATGGGTGACTTTTGCTTTATAAGATGTAGTTCTATTAAAAAGGGGGTATTTTAAAACTAAAGTGTCTCTGGTATTAATGTTTGTGCAGACAAGTGATGTTGATTTATTGGGTTAAATTGTGTGGGTGTGTATGTGTGGGTGGGTGAGAGGCCTAGCAGGTTAAGTAGGCCTTGAACATCCTTTTTATGGACAAGGAAAACAATTATTTGTACACCCTCTCATTCACTTCTGATAAACTCACGATTAAAGCCAGGAAGTGTGCTGCTGTGGAGGAAGAGTGTTAACCACCTGACCACTGAGCCTCCACTCAAACTGGAAACTAAGCTGCAGACTTTTTCACACGTGGGAGGTGTCCAAACCTCTCAGCCATATGAGGTCACCCTGTGTTGTGCCCAGTTTTAATCAAACACCACTGATGCCATAAGAAACAAGTAGGGCTAAGAAGAAAAGAAAAAGAAATCACCTCACATGACCTATTAAAAGCTTGCCCTTCATACCAAGACACAGAACTATTTCATCTAGATTTGTTTGTTTCAGGCTAAAAAAGGACAAGGTCTTTTGTATTTAAAACTTTATATGTTCTTCTACTAAAGCACAGCAGCGTTTATTGTGGTCAATGCTTTTGGACTTTCATGACTTCCAAACCCAGAAGGTCAAGCTGAGTTGGTGAAGCAGCCCACCACAGGGGTCTTGTGGGAACGCTTGGTCTAAAATGAGGACCTGTGGGTCCATTCCTGGTCCAGACACAGAGATCAGCGAGGGCACTCAAAGCCCCCAATGWGTAACAAATAAAACAACTCTGCTGAATTATTGATGATCTGAATAACCAGAAATGTGCTCCTAATGGAAAACCTTTTCAGTAATACAGATGCGGAAAAAAGGGGAATTCTTATTGTAAAAGTGAAGCTCTAGCTTTTTTTCTTCTTCTTTACTGTGTAAACTTTTTGTCAAACATCAGTCTTTCTCTGCTCTGGAGCTTGTTGACATTGGTCACATCCTGAATCTTGTCTCTTCACTCCCACAACAACAAACCATAGGTCACGACTGCCTTCAGGTTATTGCCTGATGAGAGACAGACGTTTGAATTTGAGATTTAGTCAGGTGGAAGTTTCTCTGTAACTCAGCTCACACCACAGTGGTTTTAAGCTTTTATTTTCCAGCCTTTTCTCTCCACAACCAGCATTGTTTATTTTTCCAGATTTTTCCTCAAACATCTATTCTTCACATCTCAGCCTCAGTATTCCTGCTTTTGATTTTTTTTCTTCCTGTTTTTGTACTGAATCTTTTGAATTCTGCACATTTATACAGTACCAAGAAGCCCAAAGCAGCCTCCTAGAAAGCTTGCATTTTCACACTTCCAGCCCCATGTTTTCGATTTCTCCAGACGCTGCCACACAGCATGACCATCATACAGACATGAGGGCAAAATTAATTACAAGAGGGTTGTAATGTACAGTAAAACCCCACAGTTTTCTCAGCAGTAGGCTAAGCATCATTTCAATCAGAATGCAGTCGAGGATGAACCTTAGCTCAACCAAGTTTCTGACAGCTAATCTCCAGGGTGTCAGAGAAATGGGATGGTGGGATTTCCCTCCACAGATTTGGAGATTTCAATTTAAATAAACACTGGTTGTGTGTGAAATGATCATGTGGATGTGTTTGAGGATGTACTCTTATTTCCCTTATTCCAACATTTTCCTTATTMCATCAGTTGCCTTTTCTGTACGTTTTACCATGACCTTGTTCTTTTTTCATATCTTGAAGCCAAGTATGTTATACAGTATGTATTGACAATTTTGCTGTTTTGACCATGCCTGCTAACAATGATGAAGCTGTGGTTAACCATCTTTGAAAGCTTTACTGTAGATGAGGACAGCACATTGTACATGTTCCATTTCAGTAAGTAGCACCACAATTTACTTGGTTATTTTTAAATTCTGGAGGAAAGTGTTGCCTTTTGTTTATATAACCTGTGCTTGAGGAATTTTGTTGTGAAGAAAGGAACTTGGAAGCTGCATGAGAAGGCTTTATTTCAGTGATTGTTTTAGTGTTGGCAATAGTACTAAAAATAGCCCCAAGCTGTTTTATTAAATCTATAATCATGCACAAGGAAAATACTGGCAAAGACAATTGCAAAACTTTACTTGGAAGTCATCTCAACATRGTTATAAAACATGAAGATAAGCAAAGCTCTGTTTTTACATTTATCTTGTGCAGAACTTTTTATTTATGACAGGGTTTTTTTTCTTATGCTTTCTAACATACACTACCTGGCCAAAACAAAGTTTAACTAAGCAAATACAAGCCTCCTTTTGGATAATTACAGCATGGGTGATTATCTTTCAGCCACAAGTTATTAAACCTCAAATGCAATGAGTTGCTTTTGCCTACTGTTGCTCATGTTGCACCTTATAAAGAAATAAATTGGTAGGAAAGCAACTACAGAACTGGTGTGAGTCTAGCAATAATAAAGTAAGCTAAAAGTATGTGATAACATTTGTTTGGATAATTGAGGCGTAAAAATGTAAGATTTTTCCATTATGCACACACACCCTCTTACTGCAATAAACTACCCACAGTGCTATGACTCAGAAGTCCAGTCATTTACTGGATTTTTACCAAGTCTTGTTAAGAGTCTGCTCGGTCTCCCCTCCCCTCTACCAGCTCAGAGTCACCTGGTCGGGGAGCTTTTAGGGAGCACTTTTCTCTCCATCCTGGAGGAATCTTGTCTTACAATTACACCGACGTCACACATCTCTACCTCGATGGCAGGGAGACATCTGGGGGCTGACAGCATGTCATCACCTCTTCCCGCTGCTCTTTGCACACTCACAGGTTTTCTGCTGAATGAGGTTTGAAAAAGTTACTCCTCATAATACAGCTGTGCTGATAGGCTTCTGTCAGAAAAAAGTGCWTATAGTTATAGATTTCAAATTGATGGAGAATCCAATTCTTGGTGCACAGCTCAAAGCATGAAAAATGACATGAATAATTAATTGCCACTAATGTTGGTCTCAAAATAGTCCACTGTCAACATAGCAGCCTGGCATGACAATAGTGGGATATTGAGTCTTGGATCACATCTCTCATTCCRGCGGTCAATAGCTGCCAGGTCAGGGTCTGTTCAGTTAAACAACCTGACCCAAGGTTGCCATCTTTCGTCTACAAAAGAATTAAACTGTCAGGAGATGAAATATTGTCGCCAACTTGCTCTACTAATTAAAAGCTTAGTTTTTTTCTACCCATCTCTAGCCTTTAATATGAGAGACCCCGTTAAGAAAAACATTAAAGCAGAGGCAGGTTTTTTGATTAAGCATGACGGTAGTCCTCCCCTGTGAACTTGCTTTTATGTGACATTAATTTGCACGAGCTCTCCTTAATGAGACACGTGGTGTGAGGGGAGATATGAGAGGAAGGGAGTTCTGTTCAGTCCCCTCTTAGTCCCACTGGCTGCTCTTACAGTTCAGATTCTGTTTGGYGAAATAAGGGAAGAAACTAGTTTGTCTGAATCAGTTTAATATAGTAAAAATCTGAGGGATTTCTGCTATATTCTCATAAAAAGTGATCAAATCTAGTTTTTAAACTGCTGTCATAAACGGTGGACGGTGCCATTTTACCCATGTCTGTTAGCAGAATCTCATGAATCAGCAAGTTTATATGAAACTTTTGACTAGATTTACATTGAATAGCTTTAAAATGGCGGCCCCAGCAAAATAACCGTGAACACAAAAATGACTWACTCAGTCAATCTTAAAAATAGCTMAATCTTGGTGTGGTAGTAGATGAGAGCCATCCTCAACAAATACATCAAGTGTTGTAAGATTTGTTCAATATATGCTGAGTTTGAATTAATCTAAAACTCACAATGTGTACATTTTATTTTCAATGTGTGTTCAAAAACAAAAGCTCTAAATTTTTATGTTAATCTTCTGCAAAAGCCACCCCCCCCCCMMMAAAAAAAGGAAAATCTATAAAAATACTGAATAAAAACATTAAAATGGCCAGAGTTGAAAATACTGAATAGCTGAGTTTTCTGYTTGTTTCTCCCTCTCTTTCATCCCTCAGAGCTTATCTTCTACCAACAAGATAAACAGACACATCGTCCAGTTTCTGATACACAGAAAGCTGATGATGATTTGTTCAGACTATCACCTGCAGCAGCTGTCTCAGCTGTGGGAGTCATTCATCATGTAAACATGACTTTGGCTAAAGAGGTGTTYCACAATATTTATTTTGTTCTAGTGMTTTAGTTATTACAGAGAAAGCTTGATGTATTTAAGGAGTCAGTTGAAGAAACAATATGCTGAAGATTTTCCTAACCTGAAAGAGATAAACCTGAGAGGGTTACTGCATTAAAGTAAAATGATTCACAGCCTCTAACTTCTCCATTCAGAGCTCTTATCAGCTCAGCAGAAAAGGTCCCAGAAGAGCCTCCTTTTTGCCTTTTCCTGTCTGAGCTCTGGACATTTGGTCCCTGCAGCCTCTGCATGTGAAGGCACTAAAAATATCTGGAGCTGGGATCTGAATCCGGTTTTAAATTAATTCACTCTAACAGAGTTCTTAGGCGTACAGCTCTCTGCCAAAGACTCTCCGCCAACTCGGCCTCATGAAATGGTAATGAGAGCGCTGCTGACAATGATGCTGAAAAGCTGTTATGGAGGCAGGAGACTGAGGTTGGCTGGTAATCTTTACAGCTTTCAAAATATTTGTGTTGATTGCTTGAAACCACGTTGTTTTCAGCGCACACACACACACAAAAAAAAAATCAACCACTCCATTGCATTTTTCCTTTGTTGACCAAACGGGCAGAGCTTGCTGTAGTTTTGTTCCTGTCATTTCAGTAAAAATTATATTTTTGACAAAAGCAAAACTAGAGAACGCAGAGTGCTAAATAACTGCTGAAATTTGCTGAAGCTGAAATTGAGTTATTAAAGCTAAAATAATCCAAAACCTTTTCTGAAACTCCTCAAAGGGAACAAAGTGATGACCAGTGCAAAAAAGCAAACGCCTAAACAAATAAAAAATAAGATACAAAATAAAATGAAAATCAACATTCTAAGATGTAGCAACTTACTTTTTCTTGTACTTTAAAATAAATTATAATTCTTTTGTTTAGACTGTACAGTCCTTTTGTAAATACTGAGCCGAGTGCACCAAACTCAATTTTATTGTGCCAACAATGCATGACAACAAAAATCCTTGATATTCATTTACAAAAGATACTGACAGGACTGCAACTACTTACAAAAACAGCGACAAGAAAGTAACTCAGGGAGACAAAGCAAATGGCTGAGAAGACAGCACAATGTAAAGACAGGACAGACATAATATACAGGTGAGTTAACGAGGGAATGATTAACACCTGGGGAGAAGATGGGAGGAGCTAAAGAACACAGAGGCAGGGATTCACAGAGGAAACAAAGAAAACAATAGAAAACRAAAGGAAAACCAATACCAGTAGGTGGCGGTAATGCACACCTTCAGTTTATGGCCAACAGCCATTAAACACCACAAGAAGAAGAAGAAGAAGAAAAGGAAAACCAACGCAGATCCTGATATTTGTTATCCGAACGTTTCCCAAAGTGAAGTAGTTAGATTGAAAATATTGCAAAAAAAATAAAAGACAAATGATCAATCAACATCKACACAATTAAATCCACAAATCAGTTTGTTAGGTTTCCATCTGAGAACTGTACTTCACAATCTGACGAACAGTCATTCTGCTGCCTCCAGTTTAAGATGGATATTTCTGTAACCTCTCTCAGTTCATTGCTGCTGTCCTCGGTGATTAACGGAAAACATCATTTAACTCTGTTGATCTCTGAAGTTGTTAATATTTCACCCCTTGTTTGCAATTCTGACCTAAAAGATCTAWTTAAACTGACAGAGTGTTTATTTTAAAAGGTCAAAAGGACAGAACAAGGAGAGAGATTAACATGAAAAAAAGAAAAGTAAATTAGATTTTTTTAAGTGCAGTAAAAAGAAATGTTTAATTTCTAAAACAATTTTTCAATTGAGATTACTGATAGAAATGACAAAACAATGTGTAAAGTTGTTACATGAGCTGACATGCTTTTATTGTTTCTCTGTCCTTGAAGCACTGTTTTTCAGCCACAGCAGGCAACGGTTTCCAGCAGAAAACCTCTAAAAAGACCCATCGCTCCCCCAGGAGTCAGCAGACATCAGGAAGGAGCTCACAGAGCGAACAATTTCCTTCTACTTATCAGTTAAATGAACCACAAGCTCCTCATATGAACTCAAAGGTGGTAAAATATATCAGATTAAAAAATGCATTAATCATTTTGACAGTTTAATATTTTGAATGCTGGCTTATAAATCTATAGTTTTTAAGCCTGTTTTGTCCTCTGTTTCACCTTGGAGATAAACTATTATGAGTGAGTCCATGAGATAAAAACAGCAATAGTTTTGTTTCAGCAGCTGTGGCTTTCTTTTCTTGCAGTTCAGGCCTGATTTTTTTATACCAACTTGAAATATTTCAGACCTAATTAATTGGTTTCAGCTCAAATTATTTATAACTCGACTTGAAAGCTTGAGACGAACACATTCTTGTCAAAACACAGGTTTCAAATCTTAAAATAAAAACCAAATCCACCCCTCAACCCATTCTTTTTAACCTTTCCACTCTGCTGTCAAGCTGTTAAATTAATGAAGACTACAACATGTCAGTGAATTGTTTTATATTTTCTTTGAACTTACCTTCAGCTTTGAAGCTTGATGAAGCAGAGAAGTTAATAAAGAAAAATGATCTCAGGAAGCTCTGCGTCTGAAAATGTCATCTCACTCGTGGTGAACAGCAGTTTACGGTTGTCATGGAGCTCGGAGCTCGTCTGAATGGACAAACTTTGCAGATAATTGGATGCAGAATGAAGCCTGAGCAACAGAGCCTGGAATGAAATTTAAAAATCACTTTAAGCTTTATGTTGTCAAAGTTTGAGACTAAAAAAACATCAATCTGATCAGTTGAGATGATTCAAAAAGCCATCTACAAACAGGTAAGATATTAACGTTTCTACAAAATCCCCACTTGAACTTGAACTTTGAGTTATTCAAAGCTGTTTATTAAACTGAAACCTATTTGATCACAAAGAGTTTAATTAACAAGCTGCTGGACTCAGTTTAGAGCTGAAAACTGAAACTGACAAAGAGTCAATAAGTCTGCGGGAACCGAGAAGACTTTTCTGGTGAGCTTCGTCTTAATTACTCTGGTTTTCAGAGTCGGGTGAAGTTTCCTCTGCATGACATTCAAAGCTGTTGCATCAGCATTCTTAGCTCTCTGCAGTCCTAACATGTGTGTGATTCACCTCCGTTTACCCCAACTGCAGCTGGTACCAAGCAGGACTTGTATACAAGCACTAAATCTTGGCATCTGGTACATGAGCAGAGGAGAGATGAGATAAAAGAGGAATTTTTAAAATTATTTTGCTTTTCTCAGTGAAGAGCTCAGATGTTCACCTGGGTTTATTTGTGTGTGTGCACATCTGGCTGCTATAAATTTGATAACCATGGACCTGGATTTAGATTCACAGATGTTGTTTTTCAGGAGATTAAATTGAAATAAAAATGAAAAACTTAATAGACATAAAAAATAGACAATATTTATATAATACTGCTTAGACATATTAGGTGCTCCTGCTCCAGAGCTGTACAAATTCATTAAAAACAACAAATAAAATCCCTCATTTACTGAAATATGTACTCAGTACATTGTAAAAGCTTATTTCTTAGTCTGCATACATAGCAAATATATTTTACTTCCTGTTTTTTTTTTTGTTTTTGTTTTTGTTTTTTTACAATGTACACATCAATATTTATACCTATTTGTTCAGGTTATATCACCAAAATATTCAAATTGTGAAAATAAGATGCAAACAACCAACAACAAAAAAAAAATGAACAAGTTTGTTTTGACTATGGATAAAAGGAGGTCTAATTTCTACTGGTCAATTTTCCAAGAAAAAAAWAATAAACAAGTGGAAAAGATTTTATAAAGCTGTTTTGTGTCAGCTCAACAGGAGAAGCATGAATTATTCCAACTCTTTCCTTCTGCACAACATGAATTCACAACTTAGCTTAGGCACAAAGAGCAGAATAAACTATGGTGACAATTTTCAACATTCAAATTAAAATGAATTAAAATTAAATCTGCTCAGGACAAGTAACTTATTGTTAATATTTCTGGAAAAAAAAACCCTCCTCAGCTGCCTGATCCCACAGGAGGGGAGAAAGGTTTTAAACAGAGTGAATAGTGCTGATCTCATGTGTGACATTTACTGACTTTGCTTTTAAGTGATTGCAAACCTCACAAAACRGTCACATTACTGTCGTCAGATTTATGGCGTAAAGGAGATTATAAACCTCTGAAGTCTCTTTATCATCATCAGACCTCTCGGCTCGTAGCTACCTGACGATGGTTCATTGATCATGTCAGGACTGATCTCTGCTACTTATAACATTAACTGGTAAACTACAAAATAATTGACTTTCTGTATACATTTACTGCTTAATTCAGTGTAAATTAATCTGTACTTACAAGTAAAATAGTCCCTAATACATGTTCGCACTGTATTGTTTTTGTAAAATTAGTTTTATTTAACAGTGTTCACAAATAAACTGTATTTTAGGAGCCCATAAACAGTATTTTATTGAAAATGGATTCCAGAGTGAAAAATTAAATCTGTTGCATTTACATGTTGACAGTCAAACCACATCCTCTTTTAAACTTCAGACCACACCTCAACCTAATCTAAGACCCAAAGCGGGACGTAATATTAAGAACAGATTACACGCTCACGTTTTCAAACCAAACACTGTCGTGATTACACCAATTCTTTTAGGATGAAAAGTTTTCATCACTTTGAGCTGTCAACAATATAAAGCAAACAAACTACGATATGCATCAAGAGGCCTCGGAGGCTCAGTTCTGTTGGCTCTCAGCAAGAAGGTTGCTGGATTGAATCCCAGCTGGATATCTTTGCATGTTCTCACGGTGCAAGCATGGGTTTTCTCTGGTTACTCTGGTTTCCTCCCACAGACCAAAAACATGACTGTTAGGCTAATTGGTAACTCTAAATTGTCCCTAGGTGTGATGAGAGAGTGAATGGTTCTGTGATGGACTGGAGACCTGTCCAGGTTGTACCCCACCCCTCGCACAGTGACTGTTACATATGGCACCAGTGAAAGGAAGTAGCAGGTAAAAGGTAATGGATAGGTAAAGCATACTGTATGTTTACAACTTAGCATACAGTAGTTATTGCAGTGTGTTGGGTCACTGTGTCTCCATGTGGAAGGAAACATTTGCAGAAATGAGGCAGAGGTTAGGATTTTTTTTAGAAAATACAAATTAAGAGTTTGGAGGAAAAAGGTGTTCCCAGGTGAGTAAGTCCTAAACCGGCTCATGTAGTGAATATAATAAGGAGCTGTCATCCACAGCCTGTACGTTGACACATCAGCACCTGGATTTTCACCAACTTCATCAGAAAACTGTAGACTAAGCTCCTTTTAAAGCAGTATCGAGTTTATACATATGCCTGAACTTGCGGCCTGCTGTGTGTGTGTGTGTGTGTGTCTCATTACCAACAGTGTAAAGTACAACTCTGAAGTTTCTACACTTCAGCAGTCAAATAATAATGGGCATAAACAGGTTTAGCCTCATTTCCCTGCAGCTCCTCATGGCCAATCCCTCTCAGGTTGCTTTAAGCTGCTAAACTAACAAAAACACCGTCACCCACAAACAAAACAAATATATTTCCTCTGCCAATCCCCACTGAACAGCATTACTGTGAACATGTGACTTCAGGAGAAGCACAGATAAGCTTCCTTCCAGCCTCGTGGGAGACGTGAAACAATGCTGGAAAAGATTTCGGAGTTTTGTTTTGTTTTTGTTCCGCAGCAGAAGCAGCTTTCAGCAAGACGGTTCAATACTTTGATTCTGAGCTCAGACTTTATTCGTCATGCATATTGATACACTAAAGCACACAGTTTCTTTGGGGCCTTTATGATCAATTATTCATTGTGCTTTGTTACAGTTTAACACGAGGTGTCTCCAGTATAAAAACTGACTTTAGGATTTTAAACACCTGCTTAGAATAAAACTTAATGACAGTGGGCTCATTGAATAAAATGATACAAGTTTTAGTCTGCTGTCCTTGAACGTTACTAAAATATAGATAAAAACATACTTTCACAAAGTTTCTTTGTACTAAGCATTTTTACACAATCACATTCTCTTAAAAACACATTTTTCCTATAATCTATTCTACATTTTAGATCCCAATTAAATGTTTTAATTAAAATTATCATAGCCAACCAATGAAAGGCAAAAGATAATGTAGTTGCTGTTTTCGTGCGTTTGTCTGTTTGAAGGGTGCCAGAACTAATAACCATAAAATGTTTATAATTTCGTCAGGTTTATATTTACTGAGTGTGGTAGTTGCTGGGAGTCATCCTCATCAAATACTCCAAGTGCCAACAGATAATGTGAGACCTCTCAATACCGTGCAGTCACACAGACAGCTCTGTTCAAGCTATACATTCAAAACGCCTAAAATGTTCAGGATAAGTTCATCTTAGATTAAAAGTCTTATTTTTTAAAAATAAATATCTAAGGTATTTCAGGTGCCTGTCAATCATAACAGTTTTCTGCTCGACAGCCTCTTCCTTTTTAAACAAACAGGGAAGCTGAATACCTGCTTTTCTGATCTACATGAGAAGAATAACGAGGAGTCAACAGCGCTGTAATAGAAGACATTAATATTAGATTTCTAAATCCAGCTGAGCAAAACATTTCATATGCACAGACTGATGTGATGAATAAAAGAAACTTTGATGTTCTTGTTGACTCTGTGGGTGTGTGTTCTAGCATTCATTACCTTGTAAGGCCCATTTTTCCAAAATATACTATCTTTTGGGGACCCACTACTCCTTTTAGGGCCCCAAGCCCAGACCCCATAAGTTCAAATGCTGTTGAGGGGTTAGGTTTAGGGTAGGGGTCGAGTTAGGCTTTAGAAATATATTAAAAATGAATGAAAGTAGATGCAAAGTCCCTGTGGAGACCGAAAAACTCAATGTGTGTGTCTGTACATGCTTTTGTTACCTGGTGGGGACAATTTTTGACCATTTTCCCAGTAAACACAGCTTTGTGAGGACCCACAGTTCCTTGTATTTAGATGTGTGTGTGCTTGTTTCTACTACAGAGTGAAGACCATTTGCGCCATAGTTACTATCAAAGTGAGGTCTTTGATCATAAAGTGAGGACCTTTTCAGTGTCCTCACTTGATTTTCAGCTCTACTGTGCTTTACTAGTTAGGTTTACAGGTATGGTGTGAATTAGGTTTTCCTTCATGTTAAGGTCAGGAATAGACTAGTAAGTGTTAGTTTTAGGAAAAATGTCTGGGTTAGACATAAAAGCAGAGAGAAAGGCGAGAAAGGAGCTGAGAAAGGAGCTGTCAGTGAGCTGTCAGGGCTGCTCTACATTCAGAGAAGACCTCTGCAACAAAAAAAAAACATGCCTGCTTCAGCAAAACTGCAACAAATCTTGGTACTCAAAGTCTAAAGTTTGATTTCTCTTCTTTGCACAAAAAATGTCAAAATGCACTAATTCTGTCCACTGCATGCAATATACATGTACACACACAAAAATGTCATTTTGATTCGGTGAATACATTACATTCAAGCAGTAAAATAGATGTTTCTTTTGTGAGAATATTCATCCAACTCAGATGTTTAATAAAGCCTAATGATTTATATAAATTTGTTTACACTCTTCCTCGGGAGCTCGGGTTGCATTTGTTTCCATTAAAATCTAGTGTGGTTGATAAATTGATCAGAGCTCAGCCGAGTGCATAGATGGAGAGAATTAATGACTATCTGCAGCCCAACCCTTCAGCTCCAATCATGCTTATTAGGCTGAAATTTTTATGGAAGCTTTCAGTCCCCTCTGCCAGTGACACCCTTGCATCCTGCCAGGAACCACTTGGAGCTCTGCTGAATGATGGGGTCATTTTTCCTCTCAGTGTGTGATGGTGAAGTACGAGTGTAGTGCTATTCATGATTCAGAAGCTAAAACCTACACTTTACAGATTATTGTGGATCATTTAAGTGCCACACTTTGGGTTATTCTTGATTAACTTGAGTCACTAACCAAGTCAAACAAAAAGTTCTACTAACCCACAGCACTGCTCCTCCTTATTGAAGTGAGAAGAAATGGCGGCCTCTCCGCCTCTGACACTGCAGATGGTGCAGCAGGGTTGGAAATGGATGGTGGGTTGTATTATGGATGGGRCAGTAATCATGTCACCGTGCTCTGGTTCTGTGAAAAAAGTGCCAAAAGAACATGAGGTACAGAGTAAACCAGAGAACTCTACAAAGGAAGGAAGAGTGACATCAAGAAAATCAAACCAGAAGAGAGTGTGGAGGAAAGAACACAACAGGAAAAAARTAATAACAGAGACCAGCAGATGGGATTAGTGAGAGCACTTGCCAAACAGGGGATGAGTAGACGAGTGTCCCCACCAGCTTGTTTTAGTCGAGTCTGTTAGCTGTGAACAAACACTAAATATTTTTAGCTCCTCACACACGCCCATAAATACCCCAGGAGTTWGTGTGCAAGACCGCTGCGTCATCCCAGGAGAAATATAAAGCATAAACCGCCATCACCCCCTGACTGCACAAATGTGTTAATTCTGATGAATGGACACAATGAAGAGGGCTTGAACTGCTCTCCGCTCCCGTGGGATCGATAAATAATGACGCCGGAGATGAGAGGAATCAGACGGAGCTGCAGATGCGATGGTTTTGCAGGACGACCAATTTCATTTAGTCATCAAAAYCACGGCTGGATATATCCCTGAACCTGACAAGCACAATGCTTATAAGCACTGTTTAAAACATTTAGTTGACAGCGTTTGAGTAAATAAGGTCACAACAGCTCACTCAAGTCAAGTGTGTGCAGAGGATTCAAAGAGATGTCTTTTATAACGGCTGTGGCAGATTACAGGCTGTGCAGCCATCTGTTTTCACTGCATCTCTGCTGCTGTCTGACAACACATTTTTTATTACATAAAGATGTCAGAAACACCAACTTATTCTCATAACCTCTGCATCCTTCAGTTTGACACATAAGCAGTGCTGCCTATCTGTATTCCTGTCACTGTGCTCGCATTCAGGAGGGAGGRTTTTATTTATATTTAAACTATAGGATCCCCGATGCCAGCACTCATACTAAAGCATTACACAAAAATGTGTAATTAAATTTTCTTACCCTGCAATTGTTTCCTTGTAATCCACTGAAAGTCAACAATAGTAGGGCTCCCAGCTGTGTGCAGGTGAGCTTTCACAGTAGTAATCAAATAATATTCTGCACAGTGTGAGTCTACGTGTGTGTTGTGTGTGTGCACTGGAGAGTGAAGGATAATTAACTGCACAACAGAGTGTGATTAAAGTGCAMCAAGGTGAAGGGACACATACTGTGTGATAAGAAATGGACCGCACTGAAATCTCAGGTATAATCCCACAAAGCAGGAGATGAAAAACCAAAACGGTGGGGAACTGCAGTCAGTTGCAATCATCTCCATAGCAACGCCCCATTAGGAAAATACCCTTTCCTGATGATCTAGGACAAAATAAGCTAGAAAAAAATTTAGGACAAGAAAAATCCCTGATGCATAAAAGCGTTTGACTTTTTTTTTTTTGGTTGTTTAAGAAAAACACGCTGTCGCAAGTCACAAAGTAGGGTTGGGCATAATAATATCGTGTGCAATTAATCGTCAGAAAAACATTAATCAATTACTTTTTGGCACTTGATGATTAAAACGATTAATGCCACCAGGCAGAGTCCACTCGCTGCTCCTTTATACTTCAAATATGATGAACATTTTTTTTAAAAAGTTCTGTAATTTATTTACCTATCAACACAATTTAAAATTTGATGTACACCCTGAAATCTGTAATTTTGACACAATTTGGAATGGGTTTTTCTGAAGAGCAAATCTTTCCCACTAAATTGGTCATGTGACCAGGACATAAGGGTGTCCAGGGACTCCAGGGGATTAATTGTCAAATTAATCGTTATCGGCTAAATACCACAATTAATTGTGATTAATTGTTTTGCCAATATTGCCCAACCCTATCACAAAGAAGATTTTTTTTTCTTGTTGCATTAAAGATCATGTATTCATAAATGAGCAGTGAACATATTGCNCTGCCGCAAGTCACAAAGTATGGTTGGGCATAATCGTATCGTGTGCAATTAATCGTCAGAAAAACATTAATTACTTTTTGGCACTTGAGGATTAATACGATTAATGCCACCAGGCAGAGTCCACTCGCTGCTCCTTTATACTTCAAATATGATGAACATTTTTTTTAAAGTTCTGTAATTTATTTATCTATCAACACAGTTTAAAAGTTGATGTACACCCTGAAATCTGTAATTTTGACACAATTTGGAACAGATTGGTATGAGGAGCAAATCTTTCCCACTAAATTGGTCATGTGACCAGGACATAAGGGGGTCCAGGGACTCCAGGGGATTAATCGTCAAATTAATCGTTATCGGCTAAATACCACAATTAATTGTGATTAATTKTTTTGCCAATATTGCCCAACCCTATCACAAAGAAGATTTTTTTTTCTTGTTGCATTAAAGATCATGTATTCATAAATGAGCAGWGAACATATTGCTTTTACATCATTGTTTAAATGGTTGTTTGTCTCTACGTGTTCCTGTGCTGGGTCTCTCACACAATCACTGCTGGAGATAGGCTCCAGAACCCTGCAACCAGAAAAGGAGAACCGGGTTAAAAAAACGTATGTTTTGTGTAAAAAATAAATAAATAAATAAATAAGTTGCAACATAATCTTTTGCTTTCTGATACTGCCATCTAGTGGAAATACACAAAATCTGCCTCTCTTTTAGGAACAGATATTGAGCAAATATGCACTTTATATTCATTTTATTAGCGTGATATATAACATAACTTTGGCTCCTCTTATGCAGCATTATTGTGAAAAAATGTGTCTTAATACACATGTATTTTCCAGGCACATAGTTCAATTGTAACCCACAATCAAGTAACTCTTGAAAACACCTTGAAATTGGCCTTTATCTCTTTAAGAACCTGCTACAATTTCTGACACTCCCTCTTCAGYATGTAATCACAACAGTCCTTCGGTGGAGGGGTGCTGTGTGGGGCGAGTGCTTGGCTGGGGACTGAGCTACAGGGAGGGGCTTTGTACAAATAGACGGTGCTTTGTACCAGCAAGCGTTTGCACAACTCCATATTGTTTCCACAGGAGATTCAAGGATTTGTCAWACATGCATGAATGAGTCAAGGCAACACTCTGGGTATGAGTTTGATGAGAGAATGACATTACAACATGACAAGGCTAAAAAAAGGTATTTTTTTAATTATTACCCCCCCCCCTTAAAAAATTACCTCAGTTTCTCATCTTTACACACTACTGTCTGCTGACTATCCCTCTAGTGGCCTTTTGAAGAAAAAGTTTTACTTTATTTAGGTATTTATTTTAACTCTCTAGCAGGGAATCAAGAAAAAGAACAACAGTACAAAAAATGCTCCTAATAACATTGCATTAATTTTAATGGCTAAAAATTCTATCTGAAAAACAGTACCAATTACAAGAGAGCATTAAAAAAAGGTATAAACAAATTAAACTATGATAA